CAGATGGAACTAGGAAAACACCAAATGCTGAAATGAATGACTACACCTGAGAAACCATCTCAGAAGAAATCCCAGATCAGTTCTTCAGCCCCTGGAAAAGCAAATTCTATACAGAAGCCATAATTTATGGAAGAACAATGGGATCAACCTGAAGCATGGGGCAGAAAGGGTGAGGAACAGAGCAGTTTAAAGGAAATGTCTTGATTAAGACAACATTCTCTAACACAACCTAGAACTTCTGGAGAAAAGGGGGAGGGGTGGGGAGAGAAAAAGGAATTTTTACTGTTTAGCCCAGAACTAAAAAAATCTCAGGTTTAACTCAAAAATACAATTTCTCAAAGATCAGTTTCACTTAATTCTTACAGAGTTGCTAACAAGATACTAATCAAGAATCTCTTCCACTAGAGCTCTGTTCCTTGTCTTGCTGACATAATTCCTAGTGTTAAAATAGAAGCTGAGCATGATTACAGCCAGCTGTAGCTCTAATGCACATACAACAGCCCAAAGATATTAATTGCTTTTGAGGAATATTAGATATTTATTCCAGGGTCTCACAGCAGCTAGAGTGTTCTATATCCAAAATAAGAGCTTATTAGGCCAGGTGCTTAAGTCTTTGCCAGACAAGGCCCAAAGAACAAGACAACATCTGTCATGATGGAAGAGCATGAGGGATTCAGAATCTTGCTGCTGGATAAACTCATAATTAATGGGTGTCCCTCCAGAAGAGGACCGCATCAGACTGAAACAATTACCATGTAACAGCTGTTGGGTGTCTTCTGATTAATTCTGCAGACTAGACCAACGTCAAAGCCATCACTGTCAATGACAACTAACCAGAAAAATCTGTTTGTAATGCATCAAAAGCAATTTACTGCTCAGTGCCTCTGCTGAGGCAGCAATCAGCATGCTTTTGAAACAACAACAACAACAATCTTGTAAAAGTGAATTTTGTTTCAGCCTGCTTAATTCTTAAAAAGCTTTGAGCTGCAAGTCCAGGCAAATACCCAGGCTCTACGCTACATCTGTTTTTAAGAATGCTTCTTGCAGGTTTGTGTCTTAACATCCCTTTAAGTTCTTCTTTTGCTTCACTGTGCAGAGAAGACTTCTTACAGTATTGGTACTGTTTTCCTGGAAGTAATTCCTGTTGCTTAAAATTAGAAATCTCACTGTATGGGGCTCTCAAAATATAATTGAGAGAAAATACACAATCACTTGCTCCTTCACTTGGATCTCTGCAGCAGCTTCTGCACGGGTGAGAATTTCTACTTAGAGCTGCCACCATGAAAGCTTGCACATCAGATATGCATAAATACACAGAACAAGGACTAGAATCTGTCTTTGCATCTCTGGAATAAATTAGAGACTTTCTTTTCTACAGCCTAGTTAATTGGAGAACATCGCTCAAAAGAATTCATTTATTAAAGCTGCTAAAACATAACATTGGGCTTAGTTTGAAAAACAAAACAAAATGACAAACTATTAAGGTGTAGGTCCATTAATTTCATTTGAGTGGGGCTAACATCCAGCTTTCCTTATGACTTGAGTACACAGTTTATGGCTGGTGCTGCAGCCACAGTTCATAGGAAGTTTTTCTTCTTTAGGCAAGTAGTCTAATTGAAGAAAATCCATCTACCCCTATACGCCATCACGACGGCTGCTATTTGATGCCTACTTTTATCAGCGCTGCCCTTGATCTAAAAATACAGCATTATTTTTCATCTGAATCATCCCCCGTAACTGGTTGACTGCACATTCCCGCAGAGAGGTGTGCCAGCACAACGGAGGAGGCAGCAGGGGGCTGAGAATAACTGCTGAAGGACTGCCTAAGCAGCACACACAGCGCTGCTGCTGAGTGTCTGGTCACAACCTAAACAGTCAAGTAAACAACTTCTGAATATTTCTGCCTCATTTTCTCCAGCTGCAAAAAAAAAAATAAAAAAATTCATGTTGCCCTTCTTCTCAAAAACGACCTTTTGAGTAACTGGAAGGTTTAAAATGTTTGCATAACTCTGAATAAATGGATGTACAGCAGCTGTTTTCAGACCATAACTGCAGTATTTTTTCCTTAAAAGCTGCGTCGTTTAACAGATTCTTTTCATAATCAAAATATAGAGAGCATTTCACTTTTAAAAATTAAAATAAAATAAAATAAAATAAAATTTGTAGCCATCAATTCCAAGTACTATGAGGAAAACTGGAGTAGTAATTCAGGAATGATCCATCCCCACAGTTTTACCACACAGAGACTGTACGGTGATGCAGAGTAAGATCATGCAAATGGGCTACTTCAATACTTATAACAACTGCTGTAACCTTCTAATTCATCTCTGGTTTCTGGATTTCTCAAACTTTGCTTTGAAGAGATACCAGCAGTATTTTGTTAGAGAAAAAAATAGTTATATTTTAAAGACTGCTTATATAATCCACTCAGAAAGTTCTTTATGGAACATAAACAAAGTTCACAGTATAAATATTGCCAATCTAATAGATATGGTAACACTAAGAGATGGAATACCCACATTTCATTAGGTATAATCCTAAATGAAACCAGAATGCACAATCACACAATGCACTGGAAATAAACCTACAGAAAGACAAGAACTGCCGCTGTCTCAATACTTTCTCCATGGAAATCTTTCCAGCTCTGAACAGTTATTATCTTGTACTCTCACAGCACCTTTCAATGGAGTTCCACAAAGGTGAACGCAAGTATTCAACATTCACTATTCTTTTGCTCATTTTTTTTCCTTCTGTAAAATGATGTGCAAAACTAAATGATTACCTAACAATACAACAGAAACAACAGCAGCACAAAAACTAAGACACCCAAATTCTAGGCCTACTGCTCTTTCTGGTTTAATTCGATGACATAATTTCCCCCCAGCTTTTAGCATTTTATCTGTGAAACTCTGAAACTGCCTTGAAGTTCTAGGCTGCTGCAGAAACCTCATTGTGACTCATGATGACAATGTTCCTTGTTGTACAAGAAATAAATACAAGTAGAAAAAAAGGAATGGTTAGTCTAAACTGGAAAAGACACAAGGGCAAAGCGATAATGGTTTTTCTGTGTAGTGAATAAGTCAAGGAAAGTGGTCTTTGTCCTTTGTTCAGCAACTGAGAGAATGCATTTCAAGAGTGCACAGTTCTGGTGCACACTCCATACAAAAAATACCAAAACACTTCCCAAAGGGAGTCCAGCGCAGGGCCCCGAGATAGTCAGGATGCTGCAGACCATGACCTAAGCAGACAGCCTAGGAGAACTGAGTTTGTTCAGCCTTAGGAAAAGGCAGCTCAGTGGAGACTCCATTGCTAGAGAAAACAGAGATGAACTCTTCCTCAAGGCACACAGAAAAAGAAGGGCAAGTAGTCACAAGTTGCAACAAAGGAAATTCTAATTAAATACGAGGACAAAAGTTTCCACCATGAGGGTAATTAAACACTAGAACAGGGGCCCAGAGAGGCTGTGCAACCTCCAGCCTCTGAAATGTCTGCGTGGCTCTAAGCAGGCTGATCTATTTATCTAACTTTGAGCAGGGGGCTGGACTAGGTGACCTCTCCAGAGGCCCTTTTGGGGGAAAGGATGCACCAAATAACTTGAGATTCCCCCCACCCCCCTTATTCTTTATTAGAGCTCAAGGTATTACAACTGGCAAGCGTCATTACGCCCATTTTACAGACGTGAAAACTGACAAACAGAAAAAGCAAGATCCAAAGTGATTTCCACAAGGTGAAGCAGCAGACAAGTATTACATCTAGTCTTATTCCTACTTTAAGGAGATTATATTCCATGTCCCCCTTCCCCACCTGCCCATCTTGCTTTTCCAAGGAACTCAAGGAATTTCTCCATTAACATGACAATCTGTACCACAGAGGGAAAACTACCTTTTTGTCTTCACTGATGTATTTTGGTCAGAAATCCCACCCTACCAGCAAGGGAATTATCTGAGCCACAACTTGATTAAATTTCTTTATACTGGTTTGTAACAAACAATACAGATGTTTGGTTGCCTCCAGCAATTTAGCTCTGCATATTTCTGCCCCTCATTCTCTATTTACAGTAGCTGACAGTAAGACCACACCACAGTCAAATTACTGCCAATCCTCTCCCTCTTTCCAACTTTTTGGGGCAATGCATAGGCAGCATTTATTTACTTACACAACATAGACAGGGCTAGCCAACAGTTAAGAAAGCATGGTCCAGCTTTACTAAGTCAGTTAAATTAGAAGAGATCTGCCTGCCTGTATTAAAGAGTAATAAGCCCATATAAATTCACTGAAACATTCATAATATTTTAAGCGCTTTAAAAAAAAAAGTTTCATGTGACCCTTCATTTCTTCTTTTTTCATCAAAAGTTTATTAGTAGTTGTTCATTATGTAGTAATTTTTTCTACTGCTCCTGGTGATTTGGGAATTTCCAGAATAAAAACTATACAGCTATACAATACACTATCATCCTCTATGAAGTAGTGTTTTCCTAAGATGCTGCATACCTCCTCGTGTTGACTGTTGTTCCTTACTCCACTGTCTCCTTCCCTCACCTCAAACAGTTACTCAATATTACCTATGATCCAAACTGAGCAGCTAGCCTTTCAGTAAGGACTCTATTTCCTTTATTAAAATAAGATCTAATTCATGCCTACAGGGCTATCCTGAAACCTCCTCTGAGTTTTGGAAAAGCACCTTGCAGCTAATCAGATGAAAACAATGAATGTACACAATTAAATAACATGACACAGGGAGATTTTTGTTCTAATCTCCCCGAGTCACAGTAACCTTAAACACCAGTGAAAGTAGTTGAAAATCTGCAAAGGAATGTGATGATTAAGAAGAGTAGGGAAAGCTAATACAACTATTTGTTACCTAAAAGAAGAAAGTAAGAACATTAAAACTAGACACGTAAGAATTTCACAGGTCCATTTTCATGCTGGTCACAAACCATTCAGAAACGTGACATTGAAAATATTATCTTTTTATATTCAACACCAGTACTTTGGATTACCTGTTTTTCTTCTTCTGGCATATCTTTTTCTAGTTCTAGTAAATATTCTTCATCTAGTTCTGTCTGCTTCCTTGAGCTATTCTCATCATTCTGTAAATTCCCTTCATCATCCAGCACAGGTTCTTTTGCCTCAAAGGAGTCATGACAGTCATGGAAATACTCATCTGCTGTCGTGGGATCTTTGGCTGAAGATGGTGTACATCCACTTTCAATATTTTGGGGATTCTGTGCATCTTTGGGGCCAGTCTCTGAAGGCTTCTCATCAGAAAGCTTTAAGTGATCAAGTAATTCTTCGGGTAGACTTGCATCTTTAAATTCTTCCATGTCGGACTCCTTGGAGGGGTTAGGTTTTTAGAAATAAGAAGGAAATAACCCTCAACAAGCATAATATAAACACCTTCTCAGCAAACAAATCTCAAAAGTTCTTAAAAGTACTCTTGATATCACCCAAGGGAAACCATGACCCCTCAAGGGACGGAGGAACTTAGACATGCCTCTCCTACGCACTACACAGCGACACGGGCCCAGCACACTGTTCCCATAAGTAAGTTAAGTCACGGGCTCAGATTCCCAGGACCGGCAGGGCACAGCACAGCACTATGCTGCGGCTTTTCCTTCGCAGTGGGACTGAAGTCACCCACAGGCCTCAGCACCCCCTCGCCCACCCCGGCCCCTTGCGGTCCCCCCGCCGCCTCCCCAGGCCCCGCCGGCACCGCGCTCCCCTTCAGCCCCGCCACGGCGTCCCGGAGCTAGGCGCCAGGCAGCCGTTCCAGGCTCTGTCACCTCAGCCCTATCCCGCCCCCGGAGATAAGGGACCGGGCTGCGGCCCGCGCCCCCCATGGCACCGCCGCCTCCCTCCGGGCCAGGCCCACCCCAGGCCGCCCGCCCCGTCCCCGGGCACAGACCTGCGCCTTCCCTTCCGGCCGATGCGCGTCCCCCGCCCCTCGCCCTTCGACCCGCCGCGCGCTTCCTGCCGGCGCCGGCCAATAGGGGGAGGCCGCGCGCAGGCTGCTGGGACTTGCAGTCTTGCGAGGGAGAGCGGCGCGTGGGGTCGGGGTGTCTCGTGCCGGTGGCGCGTGGGCTCTCCTCAGGCGGAGGAGCGCTGAGGAGAGGAGAAACGAGGAGAGGAGCGGTGAAGTGAAGTAAGGAGAAATGAGGAGAGGAGAAATGAGGAGAGGAGCAATGGAGCAAACTGAGGAGAGGAGAAATGAGGAGAGGAGCGATGGAGCGAGGTGAGAAGAGAAATGAGGAGAGGAGCGATGGAGTGAGGTGAGGAGAAATGAGGATCGATGCGGTCAGGAGAGGAGTGGAGCGTTGAGGTGTGGTGCCCCACCTCACCCTTGGCCTTTCTCTCCCTGAGGCCACACTCTCGTGTGCGTGAGGTACTGAGGTTGAGGTTTGTTTGGCTTTTTTTTAACACGGGCTGCTTGCACAGCCCTTTTGCATATCTTGAAGGGGGTCTCTTGTTGTTTGAGCTTGCTCAAGGTTAGAAGTTACACCTTGAAACTGCACCTGTTAGGCTGGGTGTAGGGTAGCTCTGAGGATGAAGGGAGGCTGGGAGCTGCCACCCCAGAGGCTCCTTGGGGGATCACCCACAGTCAAAGCTATGGGAAATGCCTGGGGTGGTAGAGCCCTGCTCCAATTCTCTCCATCTGCAGTAAGGGCTCGGGCTCACCAGGAAGCTGTTAGAGGATCAGGGATGTGTGGTAAATGAAGCACAGGGCACATCTAGGGATGGTGAGGGTGAACAGTGGGAGAGGTGAGGTCTCGAGTGAGCACCACCTGGCTTTCAGGGTGAAAACATAATCATCTGGAAAAAAAATGAAGTGAGAAGATAATAGAGAGGAAAGTTGTGATAGATGAACAAAAAGAGGGATCATATCTACAGCAGCACGTCAGTGGTGGTGTTTCAGGTTTTGTTGCCTGCGCTACCTTAGCCTAATGGTTCCTTTATCTACTTGGTGGCTATTGAGCATGCATGTGATACAGTTGTATCACTTCTAAGGGACCGTGAATTTGAAACTTTCACAAGTTTTGAAGTCAAAGGTGTGTGAAGCAATGTTTTGGTTTGTTTGGTTTTTTTCAATTGAAAATCACTATGCCAAGCCATGAGGCAGTTTAGGCATATTCTTATGAGGTTTTCCTTGCTCTAAAGAGCTTTTCAGTAAGCAAGTCCTGATGAAAGATAAAGTTCAAAATGTTCCTCTAAATAAGTTCTTGAATGCCCTAATTTAAGAAAAAAAACCCCAATATAAAAAAAATAATAACAACCAAAAAGCCCCTGCACTATATAGCTGTTCCAGATTTGGGTTAGGTAGAATCTGTTCTAATCAGTAGGATATGGTCAAGGATTATCCTCAGAGAACACGGGTTCTTAAAAGAGAAGGCAATCAATCTGTTATTGAGAGGATGATTCTGTTTCTTCTTTTTCCTCATAATATGGGGAAATACACGCACTGTTACAGCCATACCAACTTTTTTGGCGTTACCAGCCACCATTGGTAAAATACCAAAAAAGTATTAAATCTGGCAGAACTCCATGAGTGGACTGAATTGTATCTATCCCATGTGAGGGCACTGAGGAGGAGGTGCATTTTTAGAAATGTTTTAAGAAGTGTCCTGACTTCTGAACTTCTAACTGACATCACCAGGCTTTGATTCAAGCCTGAAGGGCCTTTGGAATGTTTTACATTTCAAAGTTGGGGTAGAAATTGAAGATTCCAATGCCAGATTCATTTTTGTCTTGATTTGTTTGATCACTGCTTCTAAATTAATATTTCTGATGACTGAGTTTCTTGGTGCCAGTGATGGATGTGGGTATTAATGAGAGATTGGAACACTTAGCAGTAAGTTGGCAAGAGCATGGCTAGTTGCAATGAAAGCAAACAGGAGCTCTATGGCTAATTTTTCTCCCTGGATAAAAAAAGTAGATTCAGCATTCTGCAACATCCCAGCTGCAATGATTTAGCCCACAAAAATGTGCCTTTCTGCTGTTCTGCTAGGACTGTGTAATTTATTCTGACTTACAGATCATATTTCTGAACCTTCACACTGTCCTGTTAAGTATCACGTCATTTGAAAAGGGAGAAGGAAATTACAGCTGTGGTACAAAATCAATCCATGCAGTTCTGAATTTGATGAAATGCTGTTTAAACCTCCTCTGGCTGTGCAAAGAGCATAGGGGTTTGAATAAGTTACTGTGTTTCATCCCCAGAAGGAACTGAACTGGTAAGAATAATACTGGACATCAGGGGTCAGCAACCCATCCAGGGTGGTGTGCTAGCCTTTTATTTTAACTTTTCCAAAAGAGAGTTTGTTTGCCAGCAAAAACTCTACAGGGGTTGGACCTGCTTAGAAGTTTTGAGCTGCTGCTGATCAGTGGCAAAATACTACCCTGCCTCCATGTGAGGCAGGGGTTTCTAGTTTCAACGCAGCTCCAAACTTAGTAGGAGCCAGGACTAGAAATGTTTGCTTTTCAGGAATGCCGTGGTTCCCAGTTGCGGTCCCCAGCCAGCCCTGTTGTGCACCATCCAAAATTTATGTGCTGCCTTTGGCTCCTGTCCTGTGGGGTTACTATTCCAAAATGACTGTCAGTATCTCCTTATGATCTCATTTTTAAATAGGGTTCCCAACAATATCTTACTGACTCCACAGGAAGAAGTGTGTGAAAAATTAGCAAATTTTTCTGTATAAATATTCTGCCTGCACCCCCTCTGATCTGGAGACACTTTGGGGTTCCTTGGACTTTGGAGTCTATTCAGCATTTTGTTTCTCCCAACACAACATAGGGGAAAAGATACAACTCCCCAGGACCGCGGTTTCCTGCTTGCATTTAGGAGTGATTATTCCTTTGTTAATCTTTACCCTAGATCTAGCAAGAAGGGAAAGTTTTTCCCATGGCCCTACTTAATTAAAGATGGGGATGTTCCCGCAGTCCTTTATAGCAGAGTGGCCTTTGAGCCTTATGGCTGCCGTTTAGGATTCTTGGTTCCCCCTGAGGCTAGTCTTGAGCAAGCTGCAGCTCAGTGAAAGTCTCTGAATCTGTCTCTTGTGGAACTGCTCCTCAGTGCCACTATGAAGGAAAATCCCAAAGGCTTCACTGGTATTCAGGGAAGAGACACCCACCAAGAGAACTGGAGACTCTCTGCCCACCATCAGGGGATCATTCCTCCAGCGAGCGAATGAATGAATTTCTAACCGCTCATTAGGTATCAATGTAGTCAGTGTGTATGACTTCTGTCTTCCAAGCGCTGACTTACTGTCTGTATGTCTCACTTTCTTTTCTTTACACAGTAACTTTCCTTACAGGAGTGTTGTGTTCATATGTTTGGAAAATGCAAGAACAAGTTGTCTTACAGTAATTTCAAACATACACATTTTACTAAGAAACATCCTGGAGGTTGTAGTGCAGTTGCCATTTTTTAATGACTAAATCTTACTTGTTCAAACATAGAACATGTTACTGTTTTAATCAGTCTTTTAGAACCTCTAATTCATTGCTGTAAGTGAAAGTGTATGAATAGCTGAAGATTATGTATATATACAGAAAATGAAAACTTGGTATCATTTGTTTAATCTTCTTGGTGCTAAGGGATTTTTCAGAGCATTGATATTTGTTTAAGTGAACACCTGTTGAAAAAATCAAGAACACATAATCCTGAATAAATAGACATGTTTGGGTAACAGTTCAGCGATGGAAGCCTTAGCTTGTATTGTTGAGATTTAGCCTCTCTTTTGAATGGGTTTACCTCTCAGGGTATGCATGCAGCAGAGTCCAGGGTCACTGAGTACCTCAAGTGGAACACTTTAATACTACAACACTTTTATTGAGCAGGCATGCATTAAAAAGGTAAAGTCAGGCTTGCTCTGTTGCCCATCTGAGTGCAGCTCCACTCAGTTAAGCATTGCATGAGGATCCCTAGGCTGGAATCTTTATTTTTACCCAGTCATGAAAGCAGGAACCTTTTTTGCTGGGTGAAAATGGATAATTTACACACAAGCTTATAAATTATTTGCTGCTGGTGACTCCTGATATTAAAAGTATGCATTCCTTTTCCAAAATCAGGCTTGTGCTATTTAAGGCATGAATAATGTAAATGAACAGGCATACAACAAGAGTTTATTAATGTGGATGTTAAGGTGCTTCAAGCCACATTGGGTGCAATCCTGGTGCAGCACCAGCACTGCGAAGATACATATGAGTTACTGCATGCACAGCTAGGGTGCAGATGGGGTGACTGGTGGGTACTGCATCTGAGTACAATTTCTGCTGCTAAAACACAGCAGTCTGGAAAATAGCTTCTCCTTTTTTTTTTCTTTTTTTTTTTTTAATAGTAAACTCATGTTTTGCACAAGAAGTGAATTATTTTAGAAATGAAGACTGAATGAATGAGTTTCTACTAAAAGAATGCATGTTATATCTGGAAGTTTTCATTCACAGGAAGTGGTGCTTTTCACAGCTTCCCTTTTTTTTTATAGGTTCTAGTCCTGAGTTGCCTGAACAGCATTCTCTCTTTTTAAAAATAAAACAGAATAAAACTTCAAGCCACATGAATTTCCATGGAAATCAAATTGCCACTTTATGTATTTAAAGTTTAAGGAAGGAATTTTTAAAGGCATCTGCAGGATTTGATTAGTTGACTTCTTTTTCTGCAAGCTTGCTGATCAGCTTTACTTCATGGATTTAACTGTGAAAAAGAAATGCTTCGACAAAACAAATTGAGCTTTGGGAAATCATCGCTTCTGGAAGAAACTTAATTGGAATTGAAGACAGGATGTCTAAGTTCTCCTGCTGCCTTAAGAAAAAGTCTTCCTCATTTACTGTTAAAGAAGCTGAATTTGTAGTGTGAACAATCCGGAGAACTCTTAGCTGAGAGTATTTGTGAATCTCACGCGGAACA